GCTGGGAAAAAAATGGCTTTTTAATTTCAGTGTTTATTTGTTTTGCTCCTGGTCCCAAGTTCTGCTATGGAGTAAGTGAAACTAAGAATATCCTGAGCAATGGGAGCAACTTCATTTGTTCTTGGTGTTTTTAGCTAGTGTCTTTGTGGCAGTAGTGAGATGGTGCACAGTGCCATCAGCAGATAACTTCAAGATAGGAAATGGTGCTCTGCACCAGTGACTCACACCTGCAATCCTGTCTTCTAAAAAGTAGAGAGCAGGAGGATCATGGTTTGAAGCCAGCCCTGAGCAAACTGTTTGCAAGAACCTATCTCAAAAATACTGAACACAAAGAAGGGCTGTTGGAGTGGTTCATGTGGTAGAGCACATATGTAGCAAATGTGAGACCCTAGATTCAAATCCCAGTACCAGAAAAAAAAAAGCTGGCGAATACAGAGTAAACACATGTGAGATTGGAACCTACAGTGGTGCCAGTGTGGTGGAACTCAGTGCTAAACATATCGAACATCTACAGCTCTGCAGTGCAGAATATCCTCAGAATTACAGTATTGGATGCCCATTAGTGTTGAGGAATTCATTTAAGTTTAGCAATGCCAGGAAAAGACAGCACAGCTCTGAATATTGAATTCGCTCTGGATGAGAGTTTGACACCTTTCCCAATGAGCCAGTGTCATAGTGACCCACTTAATCATGGAGGTGGGGAAAATTGTGTGTGTGGAGGACCCAGAGTAAAATTTCCTGGTTCTGAAGGTTCCTCTCATTCCCTACCTTGAAGTGAACCATGATTGCCTGCATCTTCAGAGACAGTGGTCTATATGTTTAAAACTGTGTATAGCATCCTCCTTATGTAGTGTTGGTTCAACAGGCTGCATCTTTGAGTGACTTCCATTTTGTTCCTTTCTTAGAATCTTTTTTTCTGTGAAATTGCTGCTTACTTAAGCAATGATGATTTTTTTTGTATCATTTTGTAAATGATGATTTGCCTGTAAGATTTTAATGATGAAATGATGCCTTAGCATGCAAGTTTCATAAATTTTGTACAGAACTGGGAAAAATTATTTTATGGATACTTAGATGAAATAAAATTTAGTTAGGAAAATTTAATGGTATATGAATTTATCACTTGATCTTTCCTGGATATGTGCTTATTTATTGTGTTGTTTGCCAAACATTGGAATGACAAAAATCATTTACTTTTGTCTACTATTAAACTGGATTTATTTTTGATTATATCTTGTTTCTGTTCCTTAGCCCTGATGTTGAACATTTTAAGGTATGGTGTTTTTATTGTTCTTCTTTTTGTTGTCTTTCCTTTTTCCCAATGCAATTTGATCATTGTCGATGGAATACAGGAGAATAGGATCCATCTTTCTTTGTTTTTTCCTTAGTCAAGGTGGGGACATTGTTAACACACTGCTCAGAAACATAGCTGATTGCACCCCTTGCTCACTGACTAACCTGGAGCACTGTATTAAGCATGGACAACCCTGAGTCTCTTCCAGGCAAACATCTACTCCTCCCCACATGTCCACTACACTGTACCCACCCAACTGCCCACCAGTAGCTGAAGTCTGTGACAAGGTCCCAAGGACAAAATCCTTCCCTGTTTTGCTCTGTCCTAACAAGCTCTGCCACATATCTTTGACCATGGACATGGGTATTTGGATATCAAGCCAGGCTCCCAAGTTATTTAGTGCTATTTTAGTTATTTTTCATGTAGGGTCTCCCATTTTGACCATGGCTGCTTCATACTATAATCCTCCCACAGATAACTGCCATGTAGGTAAAATTATTTGCAAATACCACCATACAGAGTTATTTTCTGAAATGGCTTTGCCTTAACTTTTTGCCCAGGTTGGTTTGAAACCATAAGACTACCAATTTTTTTCTCCTGAGTAGATAAGTTGACAGGCATGAGCCACCACACACCAGCACACACTATGATATTTCTGAATTACAATTTTATCCTTGGTGTCACAATCACCAAAGTTTACAAAAATGAACTCCCCCTTTTTTGGATTGCATTTGGAACTGTAATTTCAGGCACTTCATTTTTGCCATCCATTACAAAAATCATCTTATCATTGATAATTTTCAGTATCTTCTTTAATGCTTCCAACAAAGATGTATTTCACATTTTTGGTGGAATTGGGTTTTGAACTCAGGGCTTTGCATTGTACAGCAGGTGTTCTACTGCTTAAGCCACACCGCCTCCTCACATTTAAGAGATGACTTGGATTTCATGAGTCCTCACTTTTTGGCAGCTCTCTGTGGTTCCATGCCTCTTCCAAAAGCAATTGAAATTATTCATTCTGAGTAAGAGCAAGAAAATTAAATATTATGTACAGGATATATCACATGTCCATCAGGATTGCAAAAGTTCCAATTAGATTTTGGAGAGATGGAAAAGGTGTTTAGAAATAAAGATCCCAGAAAGAAAGAGTGCTGAAAAGAATGAAATGATGATACACTAAATCCTTTCTCTCCATTGGGAACACTGAGTTTAAAGTTAGAGATTCAATTTTGCTAGTCACATGATCTAACACTTGAGCCATGCCTCCAGTCTGCAAAATCAGTTATTCACATTTGTTATTATGTATAAATGTAAGTACTAGTTGCTTACAGTTGCTGAGAAGAAGTGATGAATGAGAGCAACTGAGTAAGAGTATGGAAGGGAAGACCTTGGAGCATTCCATGACACCTGCATTGACCCTGAACCTCTGTAATGTTATTTGAATATGTACTGCAGGCCATTGATGTGCCTGCTGAGGGAGTGCTAGACCAAAGTCCAAACGTCAGAATCACAAAAATGTGAATGAAAGACTCAGTTGTGTTGCTACACAATGAAAATCCCAGCCCCTGGGGAAGATGTTGCACAAAGATTATCCATTGGATGACAGTCAGGGTTATGTAGTGAGATTCCGTGTCAAAATAAAAAGACACAGGGATATAGCTCACTACTAGAAAGCTTGCCTAGCAATTAAAAAGTCTTGGGCTAAACCCATAGTAACACACACACACCACACACACACACAAAACAAACTGCATTAACATCAACTGCAAATATACTTTGCAAAGTGAAAGACCATAACAAATGAAAAATAGTAAAAAATATACTTGATATCATAAGAGTGGTAACAAAATTCAATACAGGGAAAGCACAATTAAATGAGAACTTAAGCCAGGGACTGGTGTTTCCAGGTGTGATATTAGTTATTCTGCAGACAGTGGTAGAAGGCCATGTTGCCTACAGCATTTCCCCCACATTTGCCCTGGGTCTGCTCCTGGGAGTATTGTCAGGCTACACAGCTCCAGCAGCTGTGTGAAATCTTCTGACTGCAGGACCACAGGGAGGTCACCTGGACACGTCAGAAGCGGGAAATGGTGAGAGGGCAGCTGGGCATCTGCAGAGTTGGTTGGAGGGACTGTTGGGTCCTGAAGCAGCAGTGGTTTTGACTGGGCCCTGTTCCTTCCAGAGTCTGTGCCCTGATCACACTGTTGGGGCCCTAGGTCTGCTGCCATCTGGTTGTTGGTGGTGGACTGGGGTCCTTGAACTCATTCCTATGTCCCTGTGAGGGCACTTTATCCCAGCCCACAGCCCTGCTGGAGTTTCTGTCTGCAAATCCCTATCTGGCTAACTGAGGTGGCTGCAGATACCACTGAGTACTTATGGAGTTTGTGCCAGGACAGGGAGCTCCTGTGCAGTGTCCCCCTAATGCCTTATTCTGACCTGGCTTCCCTTTAAGTCCTTCAGGTTCACAGGCAGCATGGGCTAAACTCTATGCCGTGTCCCCTCAATCCAGTGCTTCTCAGCCCTGCCACAAGTCCCTAAATTTCCATGAATCCCACACACTGCCAGATTCATTGGAAATGAGAATCTACACGTGCACGTGGTTGGCTTCTTGTGGAGGGGACACTTTTTGCCATTCCTGACTTAACTGTTAATTGTCCACAGATTGTTTCTAGGATATTGTTTTATAATGAAATGTTCATTAACTTAAACCCTGACTTTAAGAGTATTACTGTAGAGGGAAAGCTCCAAAAGTAACATATGAAGGCATCTCAAGGCAGAAAGGTGATTTCCTCTCAAATAGAGAAGAAAACAAAGAAAGAATTTGGATGTAGACAGACATGGAGATTGGAAAAATTAGTTTTCTCCTGTGATCTTCTTCGTCTTGTTACCTTGTTTTATTTTGGTGACTGAAGTTTCAACTCATAGCTTAGCATTTACAGAGCAGGGGCTCCACTTCTTGAACCACATCTGCAGTCTATTTTATCTGGTTCTTTTGGAGGTGGGGTCCATACATGAAATAAGTAAATTACTTTTTTGGCAATGTGTTTTGATTTTCTTGGGTGCAAATGAATAGACTGAAACATGAGGTGTGAGAAATCCCTGGCCATCTGCTTCCTTCCAGTTTCCAGAGTTTGACCATCAGCCCTACATCGACTTCCTCTGTCCTAGCCTACCCGAGTCTCCCCTCCCTAACAGACATGATGATTTTTCTATCCGGAACACTGAGTGTAGAATTCTCTGAGTAAAGCAGTTGTCCCATTTTCAGGAGGAGGAAGCAAGAAGGTCACAGTGAGTATGAAAAGAGGAAGGTGCTGGGTCCAGAGGGCAAGGACAAGTTTTGCTGAATGTAATTGTCTGACAAAGTAAAATATACCTCCAACAAAGGAAGCCTGACTGGCAAGGGCTGCTGGAGTCTCTTTTTCACCTCACCAGTTTAGCATCCCCTCCCCACTCCACTTCCCATCACTCAAGGGCTTGGGGGTGGGACTGTGTCCAGTAGCCAATCAGAGCGGCTGTTCAATCGCCTGCACCTCCCGTCCAATGAGGAGCGACGGTGTTAGGCGATTCACGATGCCTTCCTCATCATCGCCATATTTGCCATGCGCCTGCTGGAGGGACATTGCTCAGGCTTTACAGCTCAGCAGCCGTGTGAAATCTTCTGACCACAGGACCACAGGGAGGCCACCTGGATGCGTCAGAGCGGGAAATGGTGAGAGGGCGGCTGGGCATCTGCAGTCCGGGTGGAGGGAATTTTGGATCCAGAAGCTGCCGTGGTTTGGGGCCCTGTCCCTTCCGGAGTCTGCGCCCTGGTCTCGTGGTCGGGGCCTTAGGTCCGCTGCAGCCTGGAGGGTCTAAAGCCTTGAACTCCGTCCTTCGTCCCTGTGAGGGACTTCATGCCATCACACAGCTCTGCTGGGAGTTTCTGCCTGCAAATCCCTAGCCAGGACTGAGGTGGCTGGGGATTCTCATGAGTTTTTAATGGAGTTTGTTCAGGTGCTCCTTTGCAGGGTCCCCATTACTCCTTACTGGGACCTGGCTTCCCCTTGTGTCCTTCAGGTTCAAGGGCAGCATGAGCTAAACTCTGCCGTGTCCCCTCATCCAGTGCTTCTCAGCACTGCCACAAGTCCCTAGATTTCCATGAATCCCGCACATTGCCTGCATCACTGGAAATGCAGCTCCTCATGTGCGTGTGCTTGGTTCCTGTTTGGAGGGAACACTTTTTGCTCTTCCTAGCTTACGTGTTAATTGTCCATAGGTTTCTAAAATATTGTTTTATCATGAAATGGTGATGAACTTAGACCAAGACTGTAAGGGAATTACTCTGGGGGGAAAGCCGCCAAAAGTAAGATCTGGAGGCATCTCAAGGAAGGCGAGTTGGTCTCAAAGAGAGGAGAAAACAGGAGAAGAAAGAATTTTGGAGCAAACAGACACGGAGTTTGGAAAGTCAGTTTTCTCCTGTGATTATCTTTGTCTCGTTTGTTTCCTTGTTTTCATGTTTTATTTTTGGGCATTGAGGTTTGAACTCAGAAGTTTGCATTTACAGAGCAGGTGCTCAGTTGCTTGAGCCATATCTCCAATCTGTTTTGCTCTGGTTATTTTGGAGATGGGGTCTTGTAAACTATTTTTCTGAGCTGACCTTGACTGTTATACCTAAGTTTACAGGAAGGAGCTACCAGTGGTATAATAACCGTGGTCTTTTTTTGTTTTTATGGCTGCTCTGGGATTTGAATTCAGGATCTCACGTTTGCTCTGACACCCTGAGTAACGCTGCAGTTCTTCTATGTGATGGGCTTTTTCAAGATAGGGTCTCAAGAAGTATTTGGTAGCCCAGATTTGAATTTCGATCTTCCTGAGCATCTCTACCTCCTGAGCAGCTAGGATTAGAACCGTGGGGATCCTGGTTCTTCGTGATCTTATACTGATAATAGAGTGTGGTTTGTGTGCTGACTCAGGCTGAGGTTTATCAAAATTTACATTACAACTCTTTACACATCACTTAAAAGACGTTTGCCCCAGTTCCTTCACATAATCATTTTTGAAGCAGAAAAAGGGCATTTGGAAAGTGTGTTGGGGAATGTCTGAGTTTACAAAGGGGATAATGGGAAGAGTGTAGCTCGTTTTCTAGCACAATCATTTTGATTGGAAGTGAGGGTTAATCACAGCTATTTCTGAGGGTTACAACATTTAGAATAAATCTTCCACCACTTTCCTTTTGCCTTCAAGTACTTGGTTAGAGAGAGTGTAATTTGTGCCAAAGAAGACAAGTCTGGGAGGCCCAGGCTAAGAGAAAGACACCTTTATATTTTTTCTGATGGGGCAAAAAGTTTGTGTATTTGGGAGGTGATATGGTTTTGTAGTATAAATTAAAATTTTTCTTCATTGTACCTGTTTCTAGCACAGAGATTCAGAAATCCTTGGAATTTCTAAGTCAATAGAAGTGTATTTGGCAGCTTTTGAATTTTTTCTAATGACTTGTTTCAGGGTGGTACATTTCTATAACCTTAGGAAGGGGAAGAAGGCATAGCAAATGTGCTATGACTTCTTGTCTGTTTCACACTGATGCCCAGAAGTTGCAGGGACTGTGCTAAGTCTGGATGGTGTCAGAGTTGAGTGGTAGGACACTCAGTTGGTATTTGAAAGGTGGTTGATGTTGACACCACCACATATTTGTTATCAGAAGTGATGGCAAAGAAATACAGTTCAGGTCATAACATTTGGGCTCTTTGGGGAATGTCTGGTAATGTTACCCGAGTGTCCATTCTTGGTCCTTATGTCTTGTGTGAGATGAATTCAGGCAAGGCACTGGAGTTGAGCAAAAGTAAAGCATGGTTCATGAAGGAAAGTACACAGTGAACAGATTTCATAGGTAGCAGTTAGGCATAAACCATTCAGATATCCTAAGCAAACCTAAAATGGTAGAAGATCAGAAGGTTTGTGAAAATAAGCATTGTAGTTAAAACATGTCAACAAACATTGACAAAGATCAAATAGCTCACTAAGGTCACAGGCTATCACAAGATCATTCTGACTGTTCCATTCACCTCAAGATAGGTGTATGACAACAGTTTCTGGTGCAATTGATCATTAACAAAGGCTCAAACCCATAAACCATATTCCTAGTTGTGAGGATACCCAAAAGATTTTGCTCATTTTAAGTATGGAAATTTGCCCTAGTGTTTTTCACTGTCAAAAGAATATTCTTTTAGGGAAGAGGTTGGGGGATTGGTGCTGTGTAGATCATGGATAATTTAAATTTACTAGGAAGTTTTAATAGTATATGCAGTCACCTGAACTTGTTGGATGTTTCCTTATTCTGTGGTTTGCGAAATACACAGAATGTTCTAATTTATTACATGTTTCCATTTAGAGTTAACTTCTTTTTATGCTGTTGCTTGCACTGTACTGATGACCTGTAATGTTGAGCATTTTTCCTACTTGTTCTTTTATATTACTCTTTCCCCATCTCGTCCCTCCCTCCCTCCCCGTCTTTCTTTTGCCTTTTCTTTATTCCATTTAAATGGTGTCTCCTTTTAATTGGAAGTTTGGATGGTTATAGTAAATTCTTCAAAATGATGTGTTGTGCGTTAACTCGTATAGTACACTCTTACTGAAATCCTTTATCTACTTATTTGCTTACTTATTATTCAGGGTCTTGTGATTGCTCAGGCAAACACTATGCCATTTGAGCCAGTTTGACAGGTGTGGGCCTTTATTAATTCGTTATGTTATCACATTTTCTATCCTCCTTTATGATGCCAAACATTTTTAAAATTCTTAGTAATTTCCTATCCATGTAAAATTATTTTCCAAGTAGCTAAATGCATTTCAAATAAAGATGTGCTGCTTCCTGGGGAGGACAGGTATATTGGCATGTTCCCACTATTGTTCCTCAACCTGCATATAACTGTACTTACAAATTGTTCATATTATAAGGCATGATCGCCTAGTCCATAGTTTACTTTCAATGACTTTAAGCAATCTTTTTCCCTGAATACCAGTATTGAGGAAGAAAGTAGAGTTTTTGTTCATCCATTTTATTTCCTAACAGTGTTTTCTTGATGTGTTCTAAGTTCTTAGTTTATGGTCTTGTTTCTGTTTAGAGAACTCCTTACAACAGTTTCCATAACTCAGATACTGGTGATACATTCTGTGAACTTTAAAATATTTTTCTCTTCTGGCTGTATGATTTCAATTATTTTCATGTTGATTCTTTGTTCTTCTAGTCTGCCATTGAGCTTCTACAGTGACCATTTGATTGAACTTGTTGTATATGCACCTTCAGAATGTCTATATATTAATTTTGATCATTTCTAAGTATGTATTTTCTTTGTACATGTGTTTCCTCATTGATGTTTCTTCAACATGCTTGCCTACAATCCTTTGAGTCTCCTTTTGACAGAGAGATTTTGTCAAATGAGTGCATGCCTGAGATTTTCCAGAAATGCATATTCTCATTCTGAAAGTAGAATTTTGGACCCAAGGCCCACATTCCTTAGTTTCCACATTCCAGGTCCAGCCAATCACCGTTAAGTGTCAAATAAAGAAGCCTGGTGAAGGCCGGGAAAGGAGAATTAATACACGGTTGGGTATATGGTGTGGGAAGAGGCAGAGTAAGTACTCAGCTCATCTTCTGCCATCCACAGACTACAGATATGAGACACAGATTTAAACAGACAAAGAACTGGGGGCAGGGAGGAAAGCCATGCAACCTTAAAGTGGTTCCTGTCACAGGTGGTCTATTTGGTATTAACTCAGAAGTAGATTTGGGAGGGATTCTGGCATTGTCACCTGGAGGATGGTCCATCCAATGAAGGGTCTTCTGTTGGGGGTACATTTGGTTCCATTTTATGAAAGTGTTATCTGTCTTGTCCTTCCTAGATTCCAAGGGAAATGCAAGATGACTGCAGAGTGAATAGCTCAGAGCAAAGACAGATTCAAAATGACAAGATATGATGTTTTTCCTGTATTTAATTAATTTGCGTGCTGGGTAAGGAGTCCATGGTTTTCAGGAAAAGCAGTTTGAGGAGCTCTTCCAATTCTTTTCCGTTGACAATCCATAGTTCTCCATCTCTTCATATGTGTTATTATTTGTTCCTTGTGTGTAGAGAGTGGACGTGATACTATCTTCTTCATATGAAGTTTGTCCAGTTTCCTGTTTCTTCAGTATGTTTGCTTACAACGCTTTGATTCTTCTTTAGGCTCTTTGAGAAATCTGTTGTGAAATGTGTCCACTGCCTGAGACCTCAGAAATCCACATTCTCATTCTTTTCCATTGACAAGCCACATTTTTTTAATCTTTCAGATATATTGTGATTTATTTCATTGTACAGAGAGGAGATTTTAATACTAGAAAGACAGACATCACCACATGTGATTATTTTTATCTAGTATGGAGCTAGTGATATTGAAGTATGTTGTCACTTTCTCTTGAACTTTTAACTGTAGCTAATTCCAAGGATGACTTTGGGAAGTATATTCTTCCCCAAGACAGGACTTTTACAAGACTTTATAATTTGCAAATGCATATATGAGTGTGAAATCCCCAGTATCAAAACAGGCAGGGATTCTTCTCTGAATGTCACTGAGAAGTGCTGGTAGGGTTTTGGTAGATGAAATTAACTGATTCTGCTAAAGCCAGTTCCCTGTTATTTTGCCTTTCAAAGTTGATTACTCCCTGCCTTCAGCTTTCCTTCACTTTGTTTTCTGTGACCTTTCTTCTGGATTTCTGGTGAAGGAAGTTAATGCTTCTCTGGAGTGCCTCTATTCTCTTCAGTTTAAACACAATGCATTGATTTTCATCTTAATTGTCTGATTGTGAAAAAGTTGTTAACTTTCAGTTTCTTGCCTTTTGTCCTTGATGTATGGGGTGTCTTCAGATTCC